AAAAAAAAATGCAGGCTATAAATCCGTATAAACAGTGGTGTCAAGGGGCCTTTAGCCTCCTCACACTTCCATAATACTCCTCCCAAGTAATAGCCCAAAGTAATAACAGTGGTTTGATATATATATAGCCTCAAAGCAAGGTAAAGCCCCTGCTGTTCGTCACAAGACCCAGCAAGACCCTACCTTAAGCCTCTCCCATACACAACTTTTGGAGCTGCCCTTGACCAGCTGTTGGAGAGAAGTGGCTGCTCCCAGGTTATTCTCTTAGGTTTTGTGTCTGTTTCTCCAAGTTTCCTAGAGTTTGTTTGTGAATCTTCTGAATGATGCAAACGGCCACTGAGCAGGGTGGGAGCTAAGCAGACCGTTCAGTGAAAAACTCAGCCAATACTCAGATGCAATTAAAATTTTTTCTAAAGCATTTTATCAAGTAAACAGGTGCACATAGTTTTCAAAAAATCAAATAGTACGAAAAGGCTCAACATGAAAACTCAGCTACTATACCACAGCGACAGCCTTTTGGGTATGCATACTGCTCATCACTTGCTAGATGGCATTCCACATAATAACAGAATCCTGACAGAAACATCTTTGTTACCCGTTACTGCTGTGAGGTCATTTGTTAAAAAATTGTTTCCTTTGTTTCTAATCTTTGCTCCCAAAACAAAATGCCTTTACAAGGACAGCAAATGTTACACAGGGGAGAGGAGGTACTCACTGAAGTTGCAGATTCCAGCACAGCCGGTATGATGGCAGGCCTGTTTCGTAAAAGAGCAGCACAGCACCTTGGTTTCTCCCCTCTACAAGTTGCCAGAGACGAGAAGTCCTCTGACAATCAGAAGGAGCAAGACTGGTGCAGAGTGCCTTTTCTTGATTGGTGGAAACTTTCTTGAGGGAGGAGCAGGAGCTGTGGGTTAAACACTGAATATTTACACAATCCTTGGCAGACAATCCTTATTACTGGTAATGATTGACATTTAGTAGGCTAGAAAAGCGGGTTTTTTTCTACAGGAAGGAAAGCGTCCAAGGAGTTGGTGGAAGAGGTTAGTCTGGTGAAGGGGTAAAGGAATTATTGAGGAGGAAAGAACAAGTACAGTAAGACAAAGGGGTGTTTGGAAATAGAAAACAACGAGAAAAGGAAGTTGATGGGTGGGTATAAATTGAGCTAGATTTTGTCCAACCTGTTGTCTTGACCTGGGCAGGACTAAACATAAACGCTATCAGGCCGTTCTTGCCCGAACCCTTCAGTGATTCTTAGCTCACGCAAGTCCTCACGTAAACTGCAAGGAGCTGTGTGATTTGGCCGTGGGTCCTCTCTGACCTATGGCCCATTCCTCCTCTACCCTGTCCTGCTGCAGCCACACCAGCCCCTTGCTTTTTCTCAAATACACGGTGCCTGTTCCAGCCTTGGGCTCTTTGAGCTTCCACTGTCTATGACTCCTCCCTCAGATATTGTTATGGTTTAAATCTGGATGTCCCCCCAAAGCCTCATGCACTCATAGTAGGTGGGGCTTTTGGTAGGTGATTGGATCAAGGCAGTTTGATATTCATCAGTGGATTAGTCTACTGAGGAATTTATAGTTTAATGTAACTTGGAAGGTAAAACCTGGTTGGAGGAGGTGGGTCATTGGGGAGCATGGCCTGGAGTGGTACATCACCCCTCTCCTTCGGTATTTCCCCCTCCCCCCTTCCTGGCACCATGTCATGAGCTCTCTGTCCTCTGCCATGTTGTCATGCCCTGAAGTCAGCAGACTCTGGACTGAAACTTTTACACACTGTGAGCCAAAATAAACTTCTGCTCTTACAGTTGTGGGTGTTGGGTGTTGTGTCTCAGCAAAGAGAAAATAACTAATCCAGATATCTTGGCCAAATCCTTCATTTTGTGAGGTATCCTATCAAAGAGGTCTTCATGACTACCTTTTCTAAAATAGCACTTCTTTTTTCTCTTTGTTTTAACTTTTTATACCACCATTTTGAGTGTAATAACCTTATTTGCTGATGTATCACTATTGCCTATGTTGGTAAATTTTAAGCATTCGATACATATTTGATGATCATAGAAAAAAATGATTCTCTCAATTACATGGCCTAGAAACCCAATTTAATTTCTTGTAAACAAAGAGAGGAATTTGTAGGCACTTTTTTGTTCCAGGAGTTTTAAAAGTTATTGATTCCTTGGGATTTTCTATGTAAATAATCAGATTATCTACCAGTAGAAAGAGTTTTACTTCTTCCTTTCAGATCCGTATTCATTTTATTGCCTGTTGCACTGGTTTTCACCAGCACTATGTTGATTAAGAGTGGTGAGAACAGAGATCATCGCCTTGCTCCTGATATTAGAGGGAAAGCATTCAGACTTTCAGTTAGATACAATGTTAGTTATAGGGTGTTTGTTTTTATAGGCGCTTTTTATCAAGCTGAGAAAGTTTTTGTCTATTCCAATTTTTTTCGGGAACTTTACAATCTATAGGTCTTGAAGTTTGGCAAATCTTTCTGCATCAATTAATATAATCATATGATTTTCTTTATTGGCTTGTTAATAAGGCAGATTATATTAATTGATTTTCTAGTATTGAGCCCGCTTTACTTTCCTAAAATAAACTCCATTTCGTGCTCTTATATAATTCTTGTTATAATTGCTGAATTATATTGTTTATGTCTTCCCAAATTTGAGAAGTTTTCATCCATTATTTCTTGGAATTGTTTTTCAGTCCCTCTATTAGATCTTTTGTTACAGTCTCACAGGTGTTCTTCTTCCACCCATCATAGTTTCTTTCTGTTGTTCAGATTGGGAAATTTCTATTGTTTTCTTCCAGCTCACAGATTTTTTTCTCTGTTATTTCCATTCTGATGGTGAGCACTTTATTAAATTAAAGGGCAAAAGATAGCTTTTCCTACACTCTCACACCACACTCTGCACATTTCTGATACTAGTTATGTGGAGTATTTTCCCAAGTCACCAAGCAGTTCTCTAGCAGACACCAAATGAGTGTTTTATATTTCAATTCAATTGTACACCATCTTCCTAGAGATAGTGTCAGATCCCACAGGAAAAAAGCTCAGATGCACAAACTTCCCCCTCATTCACATGTCAATTGTAAATCTCAATTGTGACCTATATATCTGACCAACTAGCTATAAATTGGGTTCCTATCATCTCCTTCTTGCATTTGATTAATTTCTTAGACTACCTCACAGAACAAAGGGAGACACTTTATTTACATTTACCTATTTATTATGAAGGATATCTCAAAGGATACAGATAAATAGTCAGATCAAGAGATGCAAAGGTGAGATTAGGAGAAGAAATACCATGCTTCTGTGCCCTCCTCAGTACTCTATCTTTCCAGAACTTCCTCATGTTCAATGATCTGGAAATTCCCCAAAATCTGTCTTTTTAATTTCCATGGAGGCTTCATTACACAGTTATAATTGATTAAATCATTGACCATTGGTGATCTAGTCAACCTTCAACTCGTCTCCCTTTCTAAAAGGTAAAACTAGAGTGTAGAGTGAGAGGAGTGGAACTGAAAGTTTTAACCTCTAGTCATGTGGATGGTTTCTCTAGCTCCCATCCTGAGACTGTCTAGTAACCCTAAGCACCATCTTCTTGTTTACATAGAAAAATGCACTTACCATTTGTGAAATTCAGAGATCTTAGGAGCTGTGATTAGGATCCAGGAATGAAAACCAAATACATGTATCTCACAAAATCACACCCATCCACTGAGATTTTTACTTTTTCTTGAATTTTTAGTTCTTTTTTTATTTTAAAAATAAAAGGAGGAAAACACTGACAGACAGACAACCTTTTACAAAATAGCAAAAGAACAGTACAGACAATACAGAGTTACAAACAAAGTGGTAGGAAATTAATGCTTGTTGTATTACATATTGGTATTTTCAAAGTGGTTTCTCATGAAAACACATAGAGATGTGCAACAATGATCAATCAAGGACTCACTGACAGTTTCTTTCAGCAAAGAAATAGAAGACAGTAGAACAACTATGTTAGCTATCCTGTATATACATGCATCCAAAATTTCTCCTTCTTTCCCTTCTCTTTTCCCACATCCCAATTGCCTTTTACCCTTGAGTATTTTCCTATCATTTCACAATGTCTATTATACCTCCTAGTTTAAATGAACTCTTTCAGGTTTTACATTAATGAAACAATGCGGTGCTTGCACATGTACGTCTGATTTATTTCACTTATGTGTATGGTGTCTAATTGTGACCATTTACCTATAAAAGCCTCGAGTTTATCTTTCTTTATAACTGAGTAATATTCCATTCTATAAAAGTACCACAGTTTTCTTATACAGTCCTCGGTGGATGGACATTTCGGTTGCTTCCACAATTCAGCAATTACAAATTGTGCTGCTATGAACATAGGTGCACATATATCACTGTGATATGATGTTTTTAGATCTTCTGGGAAAATACTCAGCAGCAGGATAGCTGGGTTGAATGGGACCTCTAGACCTAGTTTT